ATTTTACAGTTTTTAGAAGTAAAAATAACAAATCAATGTATAATTTACAGTCAAATCTGTAAACTGACATTCCCAGAATTCCGTGCATGACACTCCACATTTTAAAGTATTTTGTTTAAATATTCATGTTTTTTTTAATAGTTTTTGTTATTAGTTATGTATATTTGGGCTTTATGTTACATCTTCTGTTGTTTAATAAAAGTTTAATGGATTATTTAAGTATAATGTGTGTTACCATGATGGTGTTTTGTGTTTGCATGAATGACTCTGTGCACCTTCTATATATTAGTATATACTTCTGCTTGTTTCGAAGCTACTTGGGATGAGCTTTGATTCTTCATGTGGCTTTCTCTTTTACCACCTGCATTATTATGGTGGATGTCAGTATGTTAAAGGTACAAAACAGATTTTAATAGCAGTGTGCATTGTTGAATTTACTGGTTTACATTCAAATTTTCTTGTTCGTAAATTACAGTTTTATACTGTAAAATTTACAGTTTTTTTCTGTATTTTTTACAAAATTATTCTGGCAACCACGGCTGCCAAAATTATTTTGAAAAAACTACAGAATTTTTAATAAGAACTACAGAACACATGGCTTTTACTGATTTTAACAGAACGTCAAAAGATGTTTCAAATGTGTTCTTGCTGGAGTGAAATGGAACAAATCAACTTTCTGGAAAGTGTCTGCTTTTATAAAATTTGAATTATATTTGTGTATTGAGCTTTCATGTCAGGTCAGATTAACACTGGCATATTTGAAGAGGAAAATAATAGATTCATTTAACAATTGTTGTTATTTTATACAGAAACCAAACAGAAAGTCAGTCTCAATAGAAAATGAGGATTAAAGTGTGAGCACTAGCTTTCAATGTGCGGAAATAAAACAATAAGCTTTGTTCCATCTGTTCTTGCTGTTATGCAATCATAGTTTACAGTAATATTTCAAACACTTGGATCCCCTCCCTTTGTACTCATGTTCTATTGAAATAAGCTTGATTTCCTTACTGTTTGGTGTATTAAAGTCTGCTATTGTTTTATGTGTAAAAATACAATTCAAAATCTTTTTGTCTGACCTAATTAAAAACCCAGTATAGTGAAACATTTCTATGACTACTTATAAAGTTTTAAGAAAGGTGATTAGGCTATTATCCAGGATAGTAACACTTTTGCTCTGTTCTGAGTCAGTGTGACCCCAAGTATGCAGAAAATACATAGCCTAAAGCAAATCTAGATACGAAAGTTAATTGTATTTCATCTTTATATCTGAATGAGCATGCAAACATGAAGCTTCAGTCTTGCTTGTAATCAGTTCCTGTAATGATTAAGGGTTTTAGGTCTCTGAATGACGTTTTAACCCCTGTATTGGAAACATTTCAGAAACAAAAATAGCCGTTAAGTAGCTGCATGTTGGTTAATGGCTGTTAATGTGCAGTGCGTCTGTTTCTACTTTATTTTTGTGATGAGATAATAGAATCAGATTATATAAAATAGTATTCCCATTTCTAAAGAATAGAGATAGGTGGTGATATTATGTGTTGGTGTCCACAGTTTATTTGTTGCATAGAATTGCAATGTGTAGTTTTGTGAAAGGTTTTCATTTTGAATGTTTTCTGCAGGCTCTTTGCAGTCTCTGGGTCAGTTCCAGCCATAATATTTGTTTTTGTAAGAGTCTCTCAGCAGTTCTTAAGCGATTCCAGCTGATTAATGAATGCTTGATATCATAATAATTACAGAGGTGAGCGCTGAGTAATTTTAGCCACAAGGTGGCGTTGTGTTCACACAAGAATCCAAGTTAAAGGCTTAAGTGATTGCAGATCATTTGATATTTAAATTTACTCATGCATTCATTCACAATACAGGACGTATTAACATATGAATAGGCAATTTCCTGATGTTGCTGTATTCTTTAATATCCTCTGGAATGTTCATACTATAATGCTTCATTGTTTAAAAATAGGTCAAACATGTTAACAGAAAGTTATTATTAACGAAATTAAGCGTCATTTGAATGCTTGCTGAAAGCTTGGTAGCTATTTTTGTAACCACATTCACACGAAGATTATGAACTGCTTTGGAAGCAGAATAGGCCTATTACTGATTCCCTATTGGCTGAAACATGCCTACCACTCTTTTGCTTGTTTTCAACCCTATCATTTGTCATTCACACACCTCAAGTGGTGCAATCAAGCACTTGGTAGTGTTATAAATACCACTACATTATTAGTTTTACACTTAATGTGTCACTGATGCTGCCAGTGAATAGTTGTGCAATTCTTTTAAGCTTATTAAACTATTTGTAATCTTATCTGGATGAGGTAATGTGTTTCAATTAGGGGTACTGAAAAGCCCCTGGGCAAATGTCTTTTGAGACCCCCTATTCCATGTTGCCCCTAGCGACAGGGCCCTTACTGTATCTTACGTCAAACTACATGGACAGTTTAGTATTAAAAAATTGGAAAATGTGTTTTAGTAAGCTTACATTAGACATCTAAAATAGTAGCCGGTTCTTAGTGAGTATCTCACATTGAATGCATCAAGGGGCCAAGGCAGGTATTTTCTCTCTACTGGTGCTAAGGGGGGACTAGACCAATATGTGGGGGTGCTAAGAAAATAAATGATATTGATGACGTCAGAGTAAACCAGGGCTAAACCGGGGCTATTCAAAATTCTGACGGGGCTATAGCCCCCCCTAGCCCCGGTGTAGCGCCGTCACTGGGCCAAGGGCCCCTAGTGGTCTGAGAGGCAGAAGCTAATTAAATTAAATTCTGTTTTCTTTCTTGTCTGTCTGACTGTCTGTCTGTCAATTTTCAGAAATAGCCAAACAAGTTCCTCAGTGTCAAAATACTGTTTTAGTGCAGTCTTTGTCTAATGTTATCCCAATGTTATGTTCCTATTTTATTCACAATATATTTTCCATAATACAGTTTTTAAAGTATTTTATACACATTTTACCGTATACATATCTACCAGGACAAAAACGTGATATTTGAAAGCAGCTCTAAGGTGAATACTGAGTCGTCACACGCCCCCTATAGGAAGAGGTAAGTGGCATTAGCAGGCAATGCAGCCAAAGCGTCGCGTACAGCGCTGACCTCACTGAACGCTGAGCTGAAGCGCAACTACAGGCGCATTTTCTCATCATTCATCTGCCTCAGCGGTTGGATGCGCGATCGGAGAGTCACATCACCGGGCACAGTGTCAGAAAGAGGAGATCCCAGCTGAAACAAATATGAAATAACGACAGAAGGGGAATTTATATCTAAAGCGGGTCAGCTACGTGAGTTTTTTCGTCATCTTTCGTCCTTCGAAAAACTGGATTAATTTTAATTATGAGTTTAATATTGCTCGCTACGTTTTCGCAAAGGAATGATTAAAAACTCGTAACTAGATCTCTCGCGTCAGACCACTTTTAACCACGGGAATATGGCAAAAAATATTATAGACGTCCCAAGGGATGATTTAAGTAAGATATCGGATGAAGAACTGCTTAAATGTAGCAAAGAGGAGCTGCTTAGGAGACTCCGGAAAGTGGATAGTGAAAAGATGAACTTGATGGTGGAACACGGGAACATGATGAAGGACGTCAACCGGAGATTACAAGTGCATCTCCACGAAATACGGAGCTTGAAGGAGGTCAACCAGAAACTGCAAGAAGACAACCAGGAGCTTAGAGAACTGTGCTGTTTCTTGGATGATGATCGGCAGAAAGGGAAGAAGCTGTCCAGGGAATGGCAGAGATTTGGCAGGTACACTGCCAGTGTTATGTGGAAGGAGGTTGGTATGTTCCAGCAAAAACTGAAAGACCTAGAAACCAACCAGGAGAGTGTGACGAGAGAGAACGTGGAGCTGAAGGAGATCATCCTCATGTTAGATGATGAGAGGAATGGAGCCGGATCCAGGAACTCCATAGACAGCCAATCCAGTCTGACCAATCTGAACGGAGGTTCTGCAACTGTGAGGGATGTTGGAGATGGGAGCAGTACCTCTAGCACGGGCAGTGCTGGAAGCCCTGATCACCACCACAGCCATATTCTCAAACCTTCAGAGGGAAAGATAATGTCTATCAGGAGGTCTATGGATGATCTATCAACCAACCATCTTGTCAGAAGCATACCGACTGGGCTCAACGGTGAGTTTGGACTCTTGGATTAATGGTTTAGTTGAAAACATCCCACATTTCTCCAAAATGATGGTGTTTTAGCAGATCCTGTGCATGAAGAAAGTTTTTTCCCCCTGAAAGTAATACAAAAAATAAGTAAAAACAAACAAAACGTACTCTGTAAATCAAGAATTTGAAATAATGAAAGTAATTCATATTTCATGAGTAATTGTCTTCTTTTCAGTTATCACTTTTGACAGATGACTTACAAAACATGCCTATAAAATAATTTTTCTGGTGCCCTTTTAACATTGAAAGTTTTATGCAATTGTGTGCATTGGCATCCAAATATAGAAAAGAATGCTCACCGTTTTGCCAGTGAGTAACATGCAGTGATTGAGACTTCCATTGGTTTCCTGGGAAACACTGATTATACAGGCAGTTGTGGCTTCAGGCTTTCTTTGTATATGTGGCAGTATTAACACATGGTCAACACTAATTGCTTCAGCCCATGAAGTCAGGTCTAATGTGGGTTTAATAATCTCTTGGACTTGTGACGTTGGTGCACTGTGTTAGTTCTGTCAATACTTCAATACTTTATACTTCAGGTAACAGGCATTTCATGCACATATGGAAGAGAAACTCATTTGTGGTTGAAAATGATGTACATTGATCATTAGAAGGAGTCTGTAAGTTCTCCAGTCTTCAGTGTAACATTATCCTTCAGAAATCATTCTAATATTTTGACTTGGTGTTCAGGAAATACTATTATTGTTGAAAACAGCGCTGCTTAGTATTTTTGTGGAAACCGTGACACATTTGAATAAAATATTACTGAACGGTAGTGTGTAATTCAAATAATACATTTTTTGTGGATAAAATACATGCATTGCTGTCATTGTTTTAGTCAGAGGATATTACAAAGATTTTTCCTTTCTGTTTTTGTCTTTCTGTTCTGTCTTAATGCCACTAACCTGTAACTCAATAGAGGGTGTGTATCTGTCACAAGTGCCTGAAGGTGCTATTACGTCATGTACTTTGTGTGTTTACTTTTGATTTGCATGGACTGTCTGATACCAAATTATCTGACATCATAGCGTGACATTTGGCTGTACGGTTATATAGCTGTACTGGTTATGTTGTTTTAAGTTTTATCCTTTGAATCACATGTCCCAGTGCAGCTTGGCTTATTCCTTTTAATTCACGGCTACTTATATATTGCCTTCCCCTGTTCAGCCTCTCATTGAGTTGTACTCAGAGGAAATTGACGGTTGATATTTGTATAATTTTCAAGTTTAGCAGATGTTTATATCTTAAATGACTTACTAATGAGGAATGCTACCATGTAATTTAATACAAAGTTTCAAAATCTCTCTGGTAGGTACAAGCTATGTGTTATGTGCATATCTTGCCTGTATATTTTTGGTATAAAAGAAGAGTAGAATCTGTGCATCTGCTAAGAACATGAATGTGTTGCAATAAAAGTGCACATTAGACACATTCACTCAGTAGGCCAGGTCTATTCCATCAGCAAGATTCACTCAAGTCTAACAATAGGGTTCTTAAAGGGATAGTTCACCCAAAAATGAAAATTTGATGTTTATCTGCTTACCCCCAGGGCATCCAAGATGTAGGTGACTTTGTTTCTTCAGTAGAACACATATGATGATTTTTAACACAAACCGTTGCAGTCTATCAGTCGTATAATGCATGGCAATGGTAACAAAATCTATCTATCTTGTGCCAGAAACCGAACAGTATTTATATAATTTTTTACCTCTAATACAACACTATGTTCAACTGTCTTTGGGCGCGCACACGGCATCCAGTGCGTGAGGTGTGTACGCACTCTGGCGTAGTTTACGTTAATGGGTGTGTTGATATCCAGCCGAAGAGCAATCAACCATAACTTCAGGCGAGCAGGCACAGAAGTTGGGAATACGTGGAAAGTCACCACTCCCGAATGAGTCTTTTCAGAATGTAATCTTTTAGTTTTAAGTCGGTTTGAACAATCCGGATAAGCGCAAGTAAGTACCATTTTGATTAGCCGTCGTACCTACAATGACTGTGCACTGTGTAAACAATGAGTGATGTATACGCGCGAGAGATCACTTCCGGCTCTTGCGTAAACTACGCCAGAGCACGTACACACCTCACGCACCGGATGCCGTGCGCGTGCCCAAAGACAGTTGGACATAGTGGTGTATTAGAGGTAAAATATGATATAAATACTGTTCGGTTTCTGGCACAAACCGATCGTTTCGTGTCTTAGGACATCAATGTGTCGTCATGAGCCGCAGGGTTTAATTTGGATTTGTCTGTGCATGTTTTTTTTACTCTCATAGATTTTGTTACCATTGCCATGCATTATACGACTGATAGACTGCAAAGGTTCAAGTTAAAAATCATCATATGTGTTCTACTGAAGAAACAAAGTCACCTACATCTTGGATGCCCTGGGGGTAAGCAGATAAACATCAAATTATCATTTTTGGGTGAACAATTTTTTTATGGTGTTTTAGACATTCTCAAAAGTGTTTTTGATGTGAGTAGATATTCGGAATGATTTTTATATAAAAAATTTATATTTTTTTATTATTCGGTGTTATAGAACATTGGGTTTCTTGCTTCTGCTATTTATTTCAGACTTTCATATACTGTTAGACAGAGACCTTTGCTTGCACTTGTCTTTAGATGCCCGTCATCTGACCAACGCCTACCAGGCTGTTTTCATCTGATTATTCAGTGATCCTTAGTTTGTCTGCCAAGCTACAACTCCACCCCCAACCTTTCTCCCATCATGACATGCCATACACTCTTAAAAATAAAGGTGCTTAAAAGGTTCTTCACAGCGATGCCATAGAAGAACCATTTTTGGTTATTTAAAGAAGCATCTCTTTCTTACCTTCATACACTCTCAGAAAAAAAGGTACAAAAGTTGTCACTGGGGCGGTACCATTTCAAAAGGCACACCTTTGTACCTAAAGAGTCCATATTGGTACCTAAAGTGTACATATTAGTACCAAAAAGGTACAAAAGTGTACCTTTTGAAAAGGTACTGCCCCAGTGACAGCTTTTGTACCTTTTTTTCTGAGAGTGTATGATCTGAAGAACCTTATTTCACCACAAAGAACCTTTTGTGAAACGTTTCTTCAGATGTTAAAGGTTCTTTATGGAACCATTTAGACAAAAAAGGTTCTTCTATGGCATCGTGAAGCACCTATATTTTTAAGAGTGTAGCATCCACACTGTCAGGCACATGTATGGAGCACAAGTCATTTAAAGAAAATCTAAAAAGGCTAATCTGTCTAGTGTTAGTATGCTGTTTACTTGAGAATTTATGGAAGCCTGTTTCCACTTCAGAGTGAAAAATATGACTGTTTATCTCATAATATGACTTGCATATAGCCTCTATTTTGTCTGTCATACAAGTGACTTGCTTTTCCATATGATTTGAATTGTCATTATCTTGATTGATTTATTGTTGCACGAACATTCCATAAATGAGTTTGCAAAGCAACCCCTAAGATTAGGGTTTAAATCCATAATTTAATCATTTTAATAATAATTAATGTTTTTGTAAGCTTTAAAACTACTCAGAAAACAGCAACCACATAGCAACAACCTGCATCATGTTGGCAAGTGCATAGACAAGCAGAATTCAGTTTTCTTTAGAAAATGTTTAGAAATGTTGAAACCCTGTTTTCCTTTGTAATATAGTCAATGGTGAACTGCAGTGCATTCTTAGAACTATAGTAGCGTTGTATTTAAGCTTGTGTTCAGTCATGGAGGGAGATTAGGCTGGCCTGCATTCTCTTTCCCAGGCTTCACCCCCTGATGAGTTAATCTGAGCCACAGGTTGCGTCTCTCCTTGTTTACAAAACTCAAAACAACCAACTTGGACTGCCAACCAACCAGAAGAACATTCCTGCTCCCCATACCACATAGTTAGAACTTGAAGAATTCCTATTCTTTCCTACGTGACTTGCATCAAAACCTGTGTGAAACTTTAAAAAAATAATTTTTTAGTGCAATATCTGTTCACCCAACTTTCTTCTGTGGAACATAAAAGAAGGTGTTTTGAACAATGTTGGTAACCAAACAGTTTTGGTTTCCATTGGGGAAAAAACTGGGACATTTATCAAAATATCTTCTGTTATGTTTAACGCTAAGGAAGTCATACAGGTTTGGAGAAACATAATGGTAAGTAGGCTAAATAATGACAGAATTTTTACTTTTGGTTGAACTGTCCCTTTAAGTGTAATATGACATTTTTACAATCATTTTATGGATACACCATCCTGAGACCTGACTTTGAGGTCATGTATCTGTCTCTTGGGTGAAAGTGGTTCTGTCCTGCATTGAAAAGCCTCTGGCCCCCCAGCAAGCCACCAATGGACTGAAGGTTTAGTGGCTGGGGTCGAGATTCTGTTTCAGAGTTCAGATAACACTCCTCCTTGACTCTTCCCACGGCTGGAGTGAAAAGGCCTTCAGTTGCCCCCATTTAAGACCCTCCATCAGGCCTTTAGAGCCCTTCTGCGCCACTCAAAGGTACAGATGTCTGGCTTGTCATAAAACCGATCCCAATTTACGAGTGAATCTTTCAGTCTAGAGGTCACCCCTTTGAAAAAAGCCCCTGGGTTTCTTGTGCTTTGAATTGGATTTAGAATGATTGTCTTAGTATTCATTGACATTTCAGTTAGCTGGATAGCTTATAGTTCTTTACCAATGATGGGAACTCATGAATTCCCTCAAGTAATCTGTGAGGTAATTCAATTGTTCTCCTGGGAATGCCAAATACTGGATTACACGGCTGCACTTTTTAATTCCCCATGTCAGTTCTTGTTTAGTCATGCTTTCAGGTGACCAAACAGTAAAGATCAAAGCGATACTAGTTAAAAGGTGTTTTTTTGCATCAGACCCAGTGGCAACTCGAGTGACTCTGCAAATGTGCATCCTGGTTGATGACGTCTTGAGCTGTTGATGCAAGGCATTGTTCTTTTAAAAACAAACAGTGATGCAGTGTTGCC